AAAAAAAGAGTGTTAACGATTTTGATACAAACTCCTAGATGCTTATTAACATCTCATCTACAAGCTAAAGAACAGAAACTAGATGGAAACTAGCAGAGTAAGAGCACATACAAATATCCAGAATAAAGAACCCCTAAGCTCGCTCTCTCTACGGTGCAAGAGCTGAGAACAAGTCTGTTTGGTCACAAACAGCATGTGCAAAAACTACCAGAGTATTTGTTTTTCTTTGTTCTTATTTGCAGGCACTATTCCCCTAATGCACAAAAAAGCTGCAAGTAGAGGAAGCGGGGCCCTAACAGGAAAGAAAGAGGTGTCCAGCAAATGCTGTCCCAACACCCAAATCCCGAGGAGAGGCTGTGGGGTCCGCGCGCAGGGAGGCCACGGATGCGCCTCTCCCCTACACACCGCCCAGCGCAGCGGCAGGTGCCCCAGCCAACCCTTCCCTCCAGAGCAGAGTTTGGTCCCGTGGTCTCACTGTTCGTGACCACAGGATTTATTTGACACTAAACTGCTGGGTTTTCTTGATACTAAAATTCCACAGGTCCATGGACTCTGCACCTCATCTGTGGCTCAAAATCAGTGCTAGAAAATTATGTGATTTTGTATCAGCTACAAAGGTCAAAGGAACAGAAACATCCTCACAAGATTTTTATTTTCAAAATTCTTGTTTCTTGCAGGATCCAAACTGCCACTGGTTGAGGAGCAGCAGGGGACCTGGCTGACAGTCACTCCAGCTTCTTTTCTCCAAATCTTCCTTAATTTGCACTTTCCAATTGTCTTAAACTCTAGTACTTTTTGTTTTCTTTTAGACAATGCCAATCTATGGGAGGTTAATCCCAAGATACTCCTAATTCTTAAAAAAACATAATTGCAAATTGCAATTATGGTTTACTTGTATTTATCACATATCAAACACTATCTATGTTGTATTTTTACAGTAAAATACTACTCAAAGAAAGATTCCTGCAGGTAAATGTTATAACCAAAGATGCTCATCCCGGGCATTAGACTTACACATTGCATTTGGGGCTACTGACTGCTGTGATTTGGCCGCAGATCTGAGTCCTGAAAACCTGATCCTCCAAATATGCCTCTGAATCCATTTACTCCCATCACTGCTGTGTGAGCCAAAAACAAGGTCCGAGGGTATGGCTGCTAGGCTGGGACTTGCGTTAATAGGTTTTAAGCCTTTCGTCTTCAGATCCGAGGACGAAATCTGCCTTTGTTTACAGTAACACAAATTTGGAACAATTTCACTGAACCTAATTCACAAGCCCAGCAGGACAGGATTTGGCCTTTGATTTTTAAAGATGCCTAGGAAAACCTTCTGTCCCTCTGCTGTGTCACTGATTACATGGAGAACAGCACAGCGCACTCGTTACAGCTTTCACTTGGAAAAGCCAGCCTTTACCTAACAGGAGCACGTAAGAAGAGGTGAGAAGCGGGTCTCGGCGCTGACGGGTGGCCAAAGCCTCAGCATCAGACGCCTAGCCGACAGACACTCAGACTATACGAGAGGGGAAGGGGAGAAAAAAAAAAAAAAAAAAAAAAAAAAAGAAAGAAAGAACAGCTTCGTTTACCTAACTGAGAGGCTATTGGAGATCTGGCGACAAGAAGAAAGAGAAATTCGAGGGAGGCATTTTCTGGTCCCTCTGTGCACAAGGGCCGGGCGGTTGGGGACGCACGCCCCCCCGTCAGGCGCGCGGGGGGCTGCACAGCCCAGGACGCACAGGGCGCCCGAATGGCGACACCGTGACTTTTGTTGATGTCATGGCTTTTTCCCTCCCGGAGCACCGGAGCCGCCGCGCGCGCCCCCTCCCCGCAGCGCCCGGCCCCGCCCGGCGGCGGTAAAACGGCGCCCGCGGGCAAAAGACGGGACCGCCCCGCGCAGGCACCGCTGGGATTCGAACCCAGGATTTCCTGTTTACTAGACAGGCGCTTTAACCAACTAAGCCACGGCGCCG